CATCTAGGATATCATGACATGCATCAACCAAGTCACTGAGCTTGATCACTTGATCCATTAAGTCGTACTTTTACATAGGTAGACATATGCACATATGTTTTCTCCGTAGCAATAATGAACATAAAAAATGCAATATGCTATGAGGTTGAACTAGTACAGGGTAATATAAGTGCAACACGGTTGTCGCGCTGGCAGCATTCAGACTATACTATATATATTGATTTAAACATGATTACTTCAGAAACACGCGATCATTATGTTATATTCTGTTTATCACCATATATCGCAACAGGTTTCACAATTGATTATTCACAACTGTATACGACCAGGGCCAACTTGCACAAAGCGATCTTGGCGCTAAGATGATCGTAACTCCCATACTTTAACATAGGCTTACAATAGTCTTAGTGCTAAGATCGCTTTGTGGACCCTGAACTGGTTCAGTTCCCATCGAATCAATTGTTTACCATACGAATGGAGCAAAACAAAATGGCGTCATCGAAGGATTTACAAAATCCACTGACATCATGTATTCGTAATCACATACGGAATAAACAACAACTTTAACGCCAACATAAAACAAGTGTCAAAATAAATATTACATATCAACGGTAGTCAAACTTCCCCTTTACTTAAACCAAACCATCCATTAATTCTTCCTGAATAACACTTCACGACACTGTTTTATACCATTCCTGAACAGATGCTGTATTTCAAGCATGCTAGACACCTGGAAGTTTTTTAACCGAGGTCGATTTCAGCGTTAAACACCCACACACCAAGGCACACTGAAGCAAAGGCCCCAGTCGATCCTCATGTCAAACAGCTTGAGTTCAGGTTGGCAGTGAGCTATGAGGTGTCTTCCCGGTAGAATCTATGACCGGTATTAACCAAGGCCTCCTTTAATTGTCCTGACTCACGGAAGGGAAGCATGTTGTTTGTGGAATCTGGTATTGAGAGTTGTGGCATTGGACAAGAGAATTTGCCTTAATTGCATTACCGGTGGGACCTTGAATTTCAAACACCGTTTAGTTTCGTGTGTTGCCCAAATGCATCATTGGTGGTTTGGAAACGCGTGTTTCAAGTGCCATTGTGTGGTACTTAATGTGTGATGTGATTTGTTTTGTCACTTTGCTCATTTATTTCTTCAGAGCTTGAGTATACTTTATGAATCGTCACATGTACGTGATTATTTTAGGACTTTGGGAATCATATAAATATAACGGTACAATATGTTTCTGGGTGCATTTTGTTTGTTAAAAAAAATGTAAAAATATTTGGCAAAAGGCTAATTTTTGTGAGCGTGGACGACATGGTCCTGTGTTTATTGATGCCAACATTACTCCAATCGTTGTCAGAAGCATGTAACCTGTCCTCTCACTGGAGACTCAGTGCTGGGAAAATGTAGGGGGCATAGTCATTGGCGTTCGTGCATCCCTTTCCTTGATGTATCAACAGTAATTAATGTGCAGACATTCCAAGTTCATTTCGTGTCAGTTTCAGCTGACATGCCTTGATACACGCATTACACTAACTTCATGTCTCGTCATCTATTATAGATATACACCTCACCCACGTTAGTTTATGCTTATTCATCCACAACGTATATATAAGGACACGCATGCACGTCGTGTATATTTTCGAGGATATGCATGCACGTCGTGTATATTTTCGAGGATATGCATGCACGTCGTGTATAATTCAATTGATATGCGTGTACGTCGTGTATAATTCAATTGATATGCATGTACGTCGTGTATATTTCCAAGGATATGCATGTACGTCGTGTATAATTCAATTGATATGCATACACATAGTGTATATTTTTAAGTGCATACATGCACGTCGTGTATATTTCCAAGGATATGCATGTACGTCGTGTATAATTCAAATGACACGCATGTACGTCGTGTATATTTTCAAGGATATGCATGAACGTCGGGTATATTTCAAATGACATGAGTGCACATCCTGTATTTTTCAAGGACATCCATGCACATCGTGTATATTTCACTGATGTGCATGTAAGTAGGTTATATTACAAATGAAATGCATGTATGTACATCGTGTATATTTCACTGATATGAATGCAAGTAGGTTATATTACAAATGAAATGCATGTATGTACATCGTGTATATTTCACTGATATGAATGCAAGTAGGTTATATTACAAATGAAATGCATGTATGTACATCGTGTATATTTCACTGATATGAATGCACATCGTGTTTCAAATGATATGTATGCATATCGTGTATATTTCAAATGATATGTATGCATATCATGTATATTTCAAATGATATGCATATCCATCCTGTATATTTCAATAATATGCGTGTCTACCGTGTACATTTCAAATGGAGTGCATGTACACTGTATACATTGTCAGGGTAATTTTATTCAAGAGTATACATGCTGCTGATTAAGTAGGACACGCTCACGTGTTCCGCCAACACCTAGTCTCACCAGCTGGAGCGTAGGTTTCTACAGCGTTCCTAGCTTGTTTGAAGTGTAGTTCCTCAGTTTTGTTTCATTAACTAGATAATGTTTCTGCAGAGAGTGGTGCACATCTGCCATGTCAAGGCGGGTCTGTCAGCTGGTAGCACCCTTCTCATCAGGGGATGTTTCTCATCACGTCAAGGTGGGATTGCTCCGGCAGATGTGCTGACCTGGCAGATATCTCGAGCAATACCACACTCGCCACACATAGGACTAATCAATGTAGACCAACTTACGCCAATAACATTGGAACTATATCTTAGTGTTACACCAAAGTCACTAATTAAAACATCTAGAACCAGAATTGAAGGAGGTATGTAAATATATAACGTCGTGTGGAGAGGGGATGGGGTCGTTTAATATCTCGGTCCACACTTCTTTTGAAAATATATATTGCCAGTGCTAGAGAATAACCAGTCTAAATTAACCGCCAAAACAGGTTAAAATTTGACGTATGGGGCAAATAGCTGTGAAATGTATATGAATGGACCACTGTAAATAAGTGATGACACCGCGTGTTCGCGAAAAGGGTAAGCATGTCCTGCCGGTAACCTCCCAAAACCCCTACATCCCATTTCCCCTACAGCTTAAGACAACAAAGTTCACGGTCCATGGCACTGCTAATCCCTAGTCTATTACCTATTTCATACAATGGAACAACCCAAGAAACACGAACAGATTGAGATAAATATTAAATTACAATTACGATATTATTCAAATTTCATAATACATTATAATAAAATGTTCTTTTTTCAAAATTCATAATACATTATAATAAAATGTTCATTTTTCAAAATTCATAATACATTATAATAAAATGTTCATTTTTCAAAATTCATAATACATTATTTTGTAATTTTTTAAAATTGTCTTCTCATCATATAGGCATCTTTCATTACACTTACATTATTTAAAAAAAAGAGAAATTCCCCTAGTCCCCTAAAGCTCTACCCCTTTCATTTCTACTACCTCTACTCCAGACCTTAATCTCTCCTTTAGGTGAGTTCATAATACCAGACAGGTAAATGCCGCGTGTTGTTTTAACTAATTGTAGGGGAACTGGGTTGTAGGGGAAATGGGATGTAGGGGTTTTGGGAGATAACCGTCCTGCCCTACCGGCAGCACCCGCCACTCACAATTTGCATAGCAAATTACTTATTACTCCTGCCATGGACATTTATGAACTGAATATTAAATTAACTGTTATGGTTTGTATATCATGAAAAACACAAGTTGATTCACATTGCTTCAGTGACATTAAGGAGATTTAGTTGTGACGGAGCATCTTCCACACACTACTAGCGCCGATAAAGAGAGTTTCGGAATGATCTCAAAATTATATTTGAATGAAGCAGGCTTGTTTTTGTCATTTGATAAAGGCTGTCGCCGTTTCTCGTATCCACCCGAATGGCACATGCGAGATAATATTGTGTGGTCAATACAGTGATATCTGCTGACAACAACATAGAGTTCCAGTGTGACAGAGACAGCGTTAACGAATACAACAAGTACAATAATTGACACACAAACAGTGTCTTGCAATTAGGACCATCGGCCAGCAGTGTTGATACCATGCAAGTGGTATGAATAATATGCCCCATTTCCGCAACGCTCTTTACACTCCAGTGGCTTTTGAATCACCCTTTTAATATCACACTCCAGGTAACCAAGCATGGTCTGTATCCTTCGATCTCCTCTCCCACGGATATAAATAGGTTTAATATCACACGTTGGTGTCCTGTATGGGAAAATTGTTCGGACGTCACAAAGAGACGTTCTATCTAAATCCATATTAAATAATTACACGGCGAGGCCATGTCGATTGCGCCTATCTAATAATTTAACTTACTTTCTAAATTTCAGTGTTGTGTAATCATCTGTGTCATGACTATTGCTGGAATGTAAAGGAAGGAACATAATTTTGAAAGTATTTAAGGCGTGCCCAGCGCAGGTGAAATATTCTTGTTATGTATCGAGGATCTGGTTTCGTCCAACACCTTATCTATATCAATAGGAAGTTTGTAAATACAGTTCTCGTCACTACAAGGAATGGCTTCTAGGGATCATCGATTATGCAAGTGGACTTGTACATTTCAGTCGCCTTGTTGTGCATTTCAGCCACTTATACCGTTAGACGAGATTGACAGTATTGGATATGAAAACATACTGTTTGCCTAAATCCCTCTGATGCTTTAATCCAACAGACCTGCGACAATAGCTGTCTTCTCTTTCAATACAGAGGCAAGGCCACTGTTAGTCATATGGTATTGACCGCGCAGAGATCAAGGATGCTGGTCTTTCCTCTTTGACTTGAAATTAGATACCCCCGGATAAATATGTGCTCTCCACACAAGTTTAGTTCAAGACGCAATGAGTGTCTTGGGGATTTATAATTAAGATGTATGTTGTGACTTATTATATTCACATTATTATACTATTCATCTTCATTCTGTATTAACGGAAATAGATTTTATTAACACAATATGTCGTTATGTTCTAGGTGTTATAACGTATACTTCCCCTGGTGTGACGTCAGCAGTGAATGGTATCCTACGTCACTTGAATGTGCTGAACATTGACATAACCGATGATGTCATGTCGTGCCGTGAAGATAGCAGCTGCGTCAGTATGTCTATTGCGTCAAGAGCAAAGTCAGAGGTAAGAATAAATAATTGTATTACGGTGAAACCGCGTTAATCTGAATCGTATGGTCCCCAGTTGTAACGTCCGTGTAATCGAGTGTTTTTTAACAGTTACTTCTTTTGAGTAGTTTATGTAGATGTTGCCAGCAGAAATGAGTGAGTAAGTGAGTTTGGTTTTACGCCGCTTTTAGCAATATTCCAGCAATATCACGGCGGGGGACACCAGAAATGGGCTTCACACATTGTACCCATGTCGGGAATCGAACCCGGGTCTTCGGCGTGACGAGCGAACGCTTTAACCACTAGGTTACCTGACCGCCCCGCCAGCAGAAATGAACGGGGTTCCGATTAACAAGATTTTACTGTACCAATAAGTTTTGTTTCAAATACTTTGCAACTGTCAGGCTGGTGACAATGACAACACCTGTGGCATGTTATCAATACTTAAACTGATAAATACACCTGCAATAGTACAAGTATCAAGTATTCAATTCTATTTTTCTGCAAAATGTTTCAGTACAATTCTATCCTCTAGGCAATTGCTACCCCGGCATCAAGTAGTAAATATACACCCGTATTTTCACAAAGTGCATCTCATTAACGTGTCGTATTCTTAAATTTCCAAGATGGCAGGTGGACGAAAGTCCGGCTTATCTTCTGTGCAATGTAAATTCTGCAGCAACTATTGCAAGGTTAAGATCAGGTATGAGGAAGTACGTGATACACCTTGAATGCACCCTTGATATGTTTTATCCAAGACAAAAGAAAAAAAACCGACTGAAAAACACAATGACAATGTCTTTGTTACTGTTTAATGTGTTTGCCGTGTTAATGGCAAAGGTAGATCCCTTGTAACCAATCTGCCAACGCACAGTACAGTATCTGTATCAGCAGGAGTCCTTATATGGTTGTAGAACGTATCAGTGAACCGTCGGATAGGTTTAAGTGGCCTGTGTGTCTGTTCCTGACTCATTGCTTAGTAACATAGTACGAGCTATTGTTAAATTTACAGTTCACGATCTTTGGATTTCGTTTAAAAAGACGAATTATCCCTTGGCTTGATGGCTTTTCACTGTGAGGGGTTGCTGGGGCACAGTTGGCTTGTTGGAAGACATTTGTGTGTGTGGATTGTTAGAGGACAGTGAGGGTGTACGTGTGGATTGTTAGAGGGCAGTGAGGATGTACGTGTGGATTGTTAGAGGGCAGTGAGGGTGTTACGTGTGTATTGTTAGAGGGCAGTGAGGGTGTTACGTGTGGATTGTTAGAGGACAGTGAGGGTGTTACGTGTGGATTGTTAGAGGGCAGTGAGGGTGTTACGTGTGGATTGTTAGAGGACAGTGAGGGTGTACGTGTGGATTGTTAGAGGGCAGTGAGGGTGTACGTGTGGATTGTTAGAGGGCAGTGAGGGTGTACGTGTGGATTGTTAGAGGGCAGTGAGGGTGTACGTGTGGATTGTTAGAGGACAGTGAGGGTGTTACGTGTGGATTGTTAGAGGACAGTGAGGGTGTACGTGTGGATTGTTAGAGGGCAGTGAGGGTGTACGTGTGGATTGTTAGAGGGCAGTGAGGGTGTACGTGTGGATTGTTAGAGGACAGTGAGGGTGTTACGTGTGGATTGTTAGAGGGCAGTGAGGGTGTTACGTGTGGATTGTTAGAGGACAGTGAGGGTGTACGTGTGGATTGTTAGAGGACAGTGAGGGTGTACGTGTGGATTGTTAGAGGGCAGTGAGGGTGTACGTGTGGATTGTTAGAGGACAGTGAGGGTGTTACGTGTGGATTGTTAGAGGACAGTGAGGGTGTACGTGTGTATTGTTAGAGGACAGTGAGGGTGTTACGTGTGGATTGTTAGAGGGCAGTGAGGGTGTTACGTGTGGATTGTTAGAGGACAGTGAGGGTGTACGTGTGGATTGTTAGAGGGCAGTGAGGGTGTTACGTGTGGATTGTTAGAGGACAGTGAGGGTGTACGTATGGATTGTTAGAGGGCAGTGAGGGTGTTACGTGTGGATTGTTAGAGGACAGTGAGGGTGTAATGTGTATTGTTAGAGGACAGTGAGGGTGTACGTGTGGATTGTTAGAGGACAGTGAGGGTGTACGTGTGGATTGTTAGAGGGCAGTGAGGGTGTACGTGTGTATTGTTAGAGGACAGTGAGGGTGTTACGTGTGGATTGTTAGAGGGCAGTGAGGGTGTTACGTGTGGATTGTTAGAGGACAGTGAGGGTGTACGTGTGGATTGTTAGAGGGCAGTGAGGGTGTTACGTGTGGATTGTTAGAGGACAGTGAGGGTGTACGTATGGATTGTTAGAGGGCAGTGAGGGTGTTACGTGTGGATTGTTAGAGGACAGTGAGGGTGTAATGTGTATTGTTAGAGGACAGTGAGGGTGTACGTGTGGATTGTTAGAGGACAGTGAGGGTGTACGTGTGGATTGTTAGAGGGCAGTGAGGGTGTACGTATGGATTGTTAGAGGGCAGTGAGGGTGTTACGTGTGGATTGTTAGAGGACAGTGAGGGTGTACGTATGGATTGTTAGAGGGCAGTGAGGGTGTTACGTGTGGATTGTTAGAGGACAGTGAGGGTGTAATGTGTATTGTTAGAGGACAGTGAGGGTGTACGTGTGGATTGTTAGAGGACAGTGAGGGTGTACGTGTGGATTGTTAGAGGGCAGTGAGGGTGTTACGTGTGGATTGTTAGAGGACAGTGAGGGTGTAATGTGTATTGTTAGAGGACAGTGAGGGTGTACGTGTGGATTGTTAGAGGACAGTGAGGGTGTACGTGTGGATTGTTAGAGGGCAGTGAGGGTGTACGTGTGTATTGTTAGAGGACAGTGAGGGTGTTACGTGTGGATTGTTAGAGGACAGTGAGGGTGTACGTGTGTATTGTTAGAGGACAGTGAGGGTGTTACGTGTGGATTGTTAGAGGGCAGTGAGGGTGTTACGTGTGGATTGTTAGAGGACAGTGAGGGTGTACGTGTGGATTGTTAGAGGGCAGTGAGGGTGTTACGTGTGGATTGTTAGAGGACAGTGAGGGTGTACGTATGGATTGTTAGAGGGCAGTGAGGGTCTTACGTGTGGATTGTTAGAGGACAGTGAGGGTGTACGTGTGTATTGTTAGAGGGCAGTGAGGGTGTTACGTGTGGATTGTTAGAGGACAGTGAGGGTGTACGTGTGGATTGTTAGAGGACAGTGAGGGTGTACGTGTGGATTGTTAGAGGGCAGTGAGGGTGTACGTGTGGATTGTTAGAGGGCAGTGAGGATGTACGTGTGGATTGTTGAGAAGGGTGGGGGTGTATGTGTGGATTGTTAGAGGATTATGAGGGTGTTACGTGTGGATTGTTAGAAGACAGTGAGGGTGTGTGTGTGTGGATTGTTAGAGGACAGTGAGGGTGTTGTGTGTGGATTGTTAGAGGACAGTGAGGGTGTATGTGTGGATTGTTAGAGGACAGTGAGGGTGTATGTGTGGATTGTTAGAGGATTATGAGGGTGTTACGTGTGGATTGTTAGAAGACAGTGAGGGTGTGTGTGTGTGTATTGTTAGAGGGCAGTGAGGGTGTTACGTATGGATTGTTAGAGGACAGTGAGGGTGTACGTGTGGATTGTTAGAGGGCAGTGAGGGTGTACGTGTGGATTGTTAGAGGACAGTGAGGGTGTACGTGTGGATTGTTAGAGGGCAGTGAGGGTGTAATGTGTATTGTTAGAGGACAGTGAGGGTGTTACGTATGGATTGTTAGAGGACAGTGAGGGTGTTACGTATGGATTGTTAGAGGACAGTGAGGGTGTACGTGTGGATTGTTAAAGGACAGTGAGGGTGTGTGTGTGGATTGTTAGAGGACAGTGAGGGTGTACGTGTGGATTGTTAAAGGACAGTGAGGGTGTTACGTATGGATTGTTAGAGGACAGTGAGGGTGTTACGTATGGATTGTTAGAGGACAGTGAGGGTGTACGTGTGGATTGTTAAAGGACAGTGAGGGTGTGTGTGTGGATTGTTAGAGGACAGTGAGGGTGTACGTGTGGATTGTTAGAGGACAGTGAGGGTGTTACTTGTGGATTGTTAGAGGGCAGTGAGGGTGTACCTGTGTATTGTTAGAGGACAGTGAGGGTGTAATGTGTATTGTTAGAGGGCAGTGAGGGTGTTACGTATGGATTGTTAGAGGACAGTGAGGGTGTACGTGTGGATTGTTAGAGGACAGTGAGGGTGTTGCGTGTGGATTGTTAGAGGACAGTGAGGGTGTACGTGTGGATTGTTAAAGGACAGTGAGGGTGTTACGTGTGGAGTGTTAGAGGACAGTGAGAGTGTACGTGTGTATTGTTAGAGGGCAGTGAGGGTGTTACGTGTGGATTGTTAAAGGACAGTGAGGGTGTTACGTGTGGATTGTTAGAGGACAGTGAGGGTGTACGTGTGTATTGTTAGAGGGCAGTGAGGGTGTTACGTGTGAATAGTTAGAGGACAGTGAGGGTGTTACGTGTGAATTGTTAGAGGGCAGTGAGGGTGTACGTGTGTATTGTTAGAGGGCAGTGAGGGTGTTACGTGTGTATTGTTAGAGGACAGTGAGGGTGTTACGTGTGAATTGTTAGAGGACAGTGAGGGTGTACGTGTGGATTGTTAAAGGACAGTGAGGGTGTTACGTGTGGAGTGTTAGAGGACAGTGAGGGTGTACGTGTGGATTGTTAAAGGACAGTGAGGGTGTACGTGTGGACTGTTACACACACTGACAAAACCACTTTATATTGTGTCGGATTTTAAGCAGTTCGGTCTCGGGCAATGATGCATTCTGATAACATCAGTGTATTTGAAATACTTGCTTGTTTCACGAGATGTACGTTCGTTATTTTAGTAGCGCTGAGATACAACAAAACTAGTATCATTGGGATTAATAAGTGTGTCCGGAGACCCATTTCAAATTACATATGATACTATGGCCTTTTGCTCTGTATCAATCACCCGATTTCATACCTATGCCCGATGAAGGGTGAGTGAATGAATGTTGTTTTAGACCACAATCAGTACAGTCAGATACGTTGGCCACAACTAATTTCTGTTTTTAGGATTGTATGAACTTCCCTAGCATGGTCCTAGGAAAGCCCAAATAATATATTCAGTTCTTTTTATGAGGTATTTGACATTCTCGACAGAAACAAATTCAACGAACAATAATTAGTTAGTTGTAGCCCAAAGGACACCCACAAAAAAATCCTGTTCATGGCCTTGTTCAAAAGGATAGAACACACATTGTATATACACACGTTTTTCTTTTCAGGCAGTGCTCGAGCTTACAAGACATCTCAACTGGACCTATGTGACCACCTTCTCACTCCCCAACACCCGGGCCTTAGCCGAGGAGCGTCTTTTTGCAGACATGATCTCCATTGATAAAGCGTGCTTGTCCGGACGCCATGTTGTCAGCAACGTGCAAGACATTACAAGCGCTGTCTCCCGAAGCACCTCGAACGGAATTGTTGTCTTCACTGGAGATGCAACTCTTGACGGCGTCTTTACCCTCACCCTTGAAAGACCAAAGACTGCAATACTTGTATCTAAAGAATTATTATCAAGTAGACATGACCAAGACAGTTACATCGAAGTAACGAATGAACCTGTAAACCTTGAGGGTTTTGATAACTACCTCAAAACATTTACGGAAAATACAACCCTGCAGTGGATTCGAGACACTAGTTATTTCCAAGGAACGTGTTTAGTGGCAGGAAGTGACGTAACAGCCATGATATCCTCCTGCATCAAGTCAGAATCAAGTGCCGGGGCCTTGGCAATGTCGGACGCAGTAGGGGTGATCAGCGGGGCGCTTGCGACCGCAGTGAATATGTCCTGCTCGCAATATGATGTTCTGACGTGTCCTGCATTGTCCATGGCCGTCACGCCAGTGACCCTCAGACAACGTGCTCGTTATACACAGAGGTCTGGAGAGCATGAACACCTGTTGGTGGAACAGAATACACGAGTTATAATTGCTTCTACATCTCCGTGGCCCGTGAACCTGACAGAGGTGCGTTGTAGTAGGGAATCCTATTCTTAAAGACCTCAGAATTGCTGAGGCAGCATTATTGGTTCAAGTTATTCACAAAAAAATCTGAACACATATAATGTATCAAAATTAAACACAGAGAAAAATACCATTTTAATGCCTCGTGGGATAATAGAATTACATATAATATATCAAAATTAAACACATGCAAAATACCATTTTAATGCCTCGTGGGATTATAGTTTCGTATAATATATCAAAATTACACAAAGTTCCATTTTAATGCCTCGTGTCTTCAGATCGATTATACATGTATCTAAAATATCCAATGAATCGTATGCAATAATTAAGGAATCTTGCAAAATTGATTGAAATTTGACCTTAAATGAAAGGGTGAAGGGATAAAACATGTCTCAGTTTGGTGCAGGCGGGAAAGGCACTATCCATGCACCATGTCTTGGATCTCATGGTTTTCTTTGTTCTGTAGGTCCAGACGAAGCATGGCCGTCTCCAACTTCCGCTGTCCCTGCCCGAGATGTTCTACAACTCACACTGTCACGGCTTCTGCTCCGAGTGTGTCAAGTGCAAGCCACTGATAACGTCCAATGAGAGAGTCGTGGTGGAAGAGGGAACGCTGTACATCGTCGGAGTATTTCCCATCCACAAGTCAACATCCGGTGTAGCATGCGCAGATCCCAACATTCCAGGATTTCGAGCAGCCCAGGCGTTCACTGCGGCAGTTGGTCAAATCAACTCAACAGGTCTCACGAAGGATCTTCCGGCTGGTGTATCAATTGGATGGGTTATGTTCGACTCTTGTGGCGACACGACCTGGTTTGAGAGAAAGCATCATGAGATTGACACATGCTTGTATAAATATAAGGATGCCAACGAAAAAGATGTCATCGTTCAGCCAGCGAGAACAATTGCCTATATCAATCTCGGTGGAAACAGAAACCCACCAACTTCATCGCCAACAGCAATTGTATCAAATTACGGTATCGGTATGAATGGGGAGGCTGCTCAATATTACATCGAAGCAGTCATATCTACTCTTCTTAAAGTGAAATGGACATATGTATCCCTCATACATTCAAACGACGACCATTCATCCAACATGTTAGACCTTCTGAACCAGAAACTTCCCCAAACACCGATCTGTTTCGACAGGGTGTATAACATCTCCAAGGCAGTACCAGCATCCAGTGCTATGAGGAAAGCAACAGCTGACACTGAAACTGTCATCCTTCTCACGAACACCACAGACACCGAGATCATCCTAGCGAGCCTGTCACCAAGTGGGAGAAAGTATCGCCTGGTGATGTTCACATGGAACGTGGGAGTACTCTCTGGCATGAATCTCAGCTCCGTCGTGGAGGAGACTCTCGTTGTGTGGCCTAAATCAGTGACAAGTTCCCTCGATGACGTAATGGACATGTCTGGTAATCCATGGTTCGAAGGTTTTCAAGGGTCTACAAACATCTCATCCAGTTCCAAGTTCTTTGCAGCTCAAGAAATGGCTGAATCCTCTCTTATATTTGATGCGGTCAATGCTCTTGCTAGGCAGATTAACTCGGCCTACACAATGCTGTGTCCGAGCAGGGACGGTCTTTGTGATGCATTCGCTGACTTTGAGAATGTGAAGTCACACATCCAATCACAAGAAAATGCTATTCGGGCACAGTATGAAATCTCTGTTCAACGTTTTCTCATCGACGGAACAATTGTATCTAAAAAGGTAAGAACAAGGTTTATGCAATGATAATATTTGTTCATGTGTCCCTCATGTTTATTAAGGACTTCTAAACGTTGACTAATTTCCTCAGTTGGAGCTTAACAAAGATCTCTCCACGAATAGTTAGATCTGTTACGAATAACATACACAGAATCTCCCCCGAGTGTCTTTTGACATCAAATATTTCAACACGAGTTGATAAAAGTGGGAAAACTCCGAGGCTTGCCGAGGAATTTTTCCACTTTTATCAACGAGTGTTGATATATTTGATATAAAAAGACACGAGGTTGAGATTGTATTTATCATCCAACATCTATTCTTCCAACATTTTCAGTTTGTAGACAGTAATAAGCAGTGTATTAAGTGTAAAAAGTACTGCTAACAGCTTCAGTAGCAGAGCCATTAGTGATTTCGATTGTGACGTCATGGTAACAATGACGTCACAATGGTTTGCAAAGCATTGTGATGCAATTTCACCCACTCCGTCGCAGTGGTGACTCAGCATAACACCACTGCCACAGGCTAATTTGCATATCACGTGACCGGACTTTTCTCTTGTTTGTAAACAAACGCGCTTTTTCAGAAATCAGTATAGAACGGACTAATGCAAGTATTTGGGGGCGCTTTACATATTGTTTTGCATAACTATATAGATATGCTACTACAACTGCGACAGTGAGTTGCATGACAATATATATTTATGCATCAAAGTGACCGTGTCGCTAGCTCTCCGTTGGGCTTCGATGACAGCGCGTGGAGCCGTACAACCAATGTAAACATAGGATAACTACGCAAAAAACAAGTAGATTTTTACGTATTTGCATACTTTCTCAATGAAAGTTAACCATTCTTTGCCATTTGTTTATGATAATGTGTAGACTTGTCAAACATGAAACGGATGAAAAGCATATGCAATATCTTGAATGGACTGTGAAAGATGTGACGAATCGTCACATGGCGCTGGCCTGTGGCAGAGGTACTATGCTAGCTGGCTGCCGGCCGCATGGAACTCTGGGTAGGAGAGTGGCAATTTCATTGCAGAAATATCTACAGTGTAGATACATAGAATACTTAACTCGCCCCCGTGTAATACCAATTTTATGAAACGAGTGAATAGTTCTTGTATCAGACGAGCGAAAGCGAGTCAGATACCACAATTATTCCCGAGTTTCATAAAATTGGTTTTACACGGGAGCGAGTTTAGTATTTTATGTATTACTTGCCATAAATAACGTTTTTAGAATTATACTGTTGTGTGTGAATAGGCTGACACCTACACGATCCACGGCATAATCCAAGTGAGTTTAACAGAATAATATTTCAAACACGCCAAAAGTTAAAACGTATGAATTTAATACCATACAACGGCCCATCTTTAGAATTCAGGAGTCCGTTCCACAAAATTATCGTAGTGCTAAGGTTATCGCAACTCACATACGTTAACTTAGACTAACGACTGTCCGGGGCCTTGCACCTCAAAGTTTACAATCACGTCACAATACCCGATGACGTAACTTTTGTTGCAAGATCCATCCGCGAAACAATGCCATGTGACGTCAGCCTAGCAACACGGATGCTGGGGTCATCGAGTGTGCATAAGTCCTCTCAGTGATCCATCATCTCCACACGCAATGTCGTTGAATAAGCCAAGGGATGTTGAGAGCTTTCAATATTTGTTCGTGAAACGTGTTCCTAGAGTACATAAGCACTCGTTTTGGTATTACACAATGTGTAATACAGCTATATATTTATTAAACGGGTGATCTCTTCACGTGCAGGTAATAAATCGCTTGATCTCACCCAAGCGATATCTCCTGTGGGAGCCAGTTGTGGATGATAAAATGGTGTATCGTTTCAGATCGGCACAGTTGGAACAGACGGTGACGCCAAACTCATCTTGGACGGAACAGCAGTTCTTCCTCACACGAGCGAATGTGAAGGATGGTGTCCAAGATGTCAACGCTGTCAGGGGGAACCTTCTCCTACAAACAGATCTCTGTATCTACCTGGGGATGTCATAGTAGCGGGAGTCCTCCCCCTCAGGAACAGCGACAAAGGAGGCCTGCAGTGTGGGGGGCTGTCCACATCAGTTGAATCCGAACAAGTGGTTGAAGCGTTCATGTTTGCAGTTGAGACCTTCCCCAGGCGCTACCCGTATCTCCTGCCCAATGTGAAAGTTGGGGGTCTGGTGATAGACTCCTGTTCAGATGCAAACACCGCAGTTCAGAAGGTTGTGAATTTTGAGACGTGCACAACAACGTTCAACACCAACGCTGATGCTCCTCCACATCCTTCCCAGACTCTCGGCTACCTTCTCCACGGCAGCCAGGGTGATGTGCAACAGTTGGAGCAGTGTGTGTCCGCAGTCGATAAGTTAGCCGTTGCCACTGTATCAGATTGGGGACAAAGTAGCACCAACACCAAGTCTTACTTAACCATTGACTACGAAGCCAGAAGCGAGGTATCAGCCATTGTGCAAACATTAACCTTCCTTAACTGGACTCAGGTAGTATTAATCATTTCTGACAAGGACGTTTTCAGATTGAAGTCAGACCTTCTTTTATCTCAAACCGCCGCGAAGTCAATCTGTGTCTCTAAACTTGTACGGTTTAATGGAACAATCCTCAGCTCATTACAATACGCAACAAGCCAGCTTACCCTAACTGGATTTGTCCCCATAGTAGTGATGGCATCGAAAGAAGACACTGTGCGCCTGTTCCAGGAAGGCAGTATAAAGAGAGTTCCACGTACATGGCTCATAAGCACATCGGCTGCAGACTGGTCAGTCCTTAGTGATCTGAACGTCCCCACAGGCACACTCCTCTTGGACAGAAACGGGAAACAGAGTCCCGCCTTCGCCGACTTCTACTCCAATATGATGGTAAGACAGAACGCTTCAGCTTGGTGGCAACAGTACTGGGAGGACAAGAGCAGATGTTCTCTCACCGACACATCTCCGTTTCTGCAACCCTGCTCGACATCCTCCGATGAGAGACCGATACCTTCCCAGCTTGCCACGAGGATCATACTCGGTGTTGACGTCATACTGCACGCGGTGCACAATCAGTACGTGACGTTATGTGACCAGAAGAAGGGGTTCTGTCGGCGCTTCGCTGATGAGGGTGTTGGACGAGTCCCAGCTTCGGCTAAAGCCGTGGCATTTGAGTTTGAGGACGAAATTGTCAAGTTTGCGGAATCTGGGAAGTTGGTGTCATCGTACAGCCTCCTCAGCGTGCACCCCCGGGGAAGAGTGAAGGTATGTAGAGGACAGGGTAGAAACTATGCTTGTCGTAAGAGGCGACTAACTGGATCGGATGGTCAGGCTCGCTGACCTGGTTGATGCATGTCATCGTATCCCAATTGCGTGGATCGATGCTCATGATGTCAATCACTGGATTGTCTGGTCCAGACTCGATTATTTACAGACCGCCCTCATATAGCTGGAATATTGCTGAGTGTGGCGTTAAACAACAAATAACAACATAGAAATGCTGGGCTTCGCCTGTGTGCAAGACAAGATTTGGGCTTATTTACCTTACAACACAATGGAACCCTGTTAATCCAGACACCCTATATTCCGGACGATTACTGTCATAGGATGACTAATGAACCCCCGCTGAGATGCCAGGTTTCAATAGATCCCCAGCAACCCATGCTGGTCGTAAGAGTCGACCATTTGGATCGGGTGATCAGGCTCGGTTACTTGGTTGATTGCGCGTCATCGTACGTGCATCGATACTCGCTATATCGATCGCTGGATTTTCAGACTCGCTTATTTCGAGTCGCCGTCATATAGCTGGAATATTGCTGAGTGCGGCGTTCAGTAACAACAACAACAACAACAACAACAACAAACAAACAAATGGGCAGTACGCCATACCCACGATTCGTTGTGTAGGAGATAAACTATTTGTGTTTTCAGAATTGCGGTGTTGTTGAATATTCGACGCCCGGAAATTCTAACATTGTATTACTTTTAAAAAACCGCAAACCTGAACGCACATAAGGTTTCAAATGCATTCATTGTGGCATTATAGCATTCTCTCACCAGAACAGACAGACAAACATGGCGTCACTTTGGAATGATATGACGTTATGCTGGAATGGCATACCGTCAAGATACATGTTTGTAAACAAACGCGTTTATGGTGAAATCAAGGAAGACTGGCCTGGTGAAAGCTGGGGTGGTATTCACAAAGATTCTAAGAATTTTCTAAGATATTGACTTAAGTTTAATATTTTATCAGATATTAAACCAGTCACATATTCAATACCACTTTTGTTCCACCAGTATATTTTTATTAGTTCATTATCAGAAAATATTTGAAGTACATCTCGTCTAGATGTGATTTGTGGAATACATATGGCAGCCATATTGGAGGTCTTAACAACATTCCTAAGGAGTAAGGTAAGCTCCTGAAGAACTAAGCACTGAGAACTAAGCACTGAGAACCTATGTGAATATGACTTAAGAAATTACTTAAACTTTAAGCTGGTTGTTAGGGAAACAAAGATTTCATTGTGGATTTAAGAATTCTTAAGGCTTAAGATAATACTAAGAAGCTTTGTGAATACCGCCCCTGGTCCTTGCGATTTACGTTTTGTTTGGCATAATAGCATAGATATGCTACCTGCAACACTGACGTGCAAGACATTATATCTTTATCGCTAGCTCAACCAATATAAACAAAGGATAAATGCGCGAATGGAAATGTTTTTTGTACGTTTCATCATATTTTCTCAATTAAATTTAATCATTTCATGACGTGTACCTAAATGTGTACACTTTTCAAACATCAAAAAGATGAAAAACAGCGTAATTTGTTGAAAGGACTGTGTAAGAATTGTTATGTCTCTCTCGTGCCTGTGGCGGAAGTACTGGATTAACCGCAAGGAACTCTGGGAAGGAGAGTGAGAAGACGATACACATGAAGTATTCATACGCGGTGAAAAGTCTGGAAAGATTTCCGAGATCAAATCTCAATAACAACGTTTTTGAACCAATAAGATTCCAGAACACACTCCCACAGATAAATACAATCAGTACTTATGTTAACCTGGAACGTTACCGATTCCGGGTCACCGGGGTTCACTTTATAATATTAAAATGTAGTAGTGTACGTTATGTATTCCTACGCCAATAGTAACGAATTTGCTATGTTTTTCATATTCCTTACAGGAATAGAAAATGTCAAATACTGAAGTTATGTTATGATGGTCTAGCATGTGTTGTACACAAACAATGTCCATATTAGACACGCATGCATTTCTTAAGAAGGTCATTACTAAAAAGGTCTCAGCACCAATAATTGTTCACTGTTGTGTCCTGTTTCAGGTTGGAGAATGGCGGAGTGGTCAGCTCCTTCTGGACGCCAGCAAACTCTACTACATCGACGGACAATCCTCTGCCAACGTTGCTCATTGTCACAGTAAATGCATCTGCCTCAACAACGTCACCTCCAACCGCAACATCACACCGGCAGACGCAGTTTTCTACGAAACCTCGGGAAGATTTAACGGGGAGCTGTGGGCCACAATCATCGTCACCATATCAGCAGCAGGAGCCTTCGTCACCCTCATCCTCATCTTCTACGTCATCTACAAAGTCTGCGCAGGCGCACTAGCCAAGCGTTACGTCGGACTGGGTCTCCTCCTCCTCATCGGGGTTCTCATCCTCTACTTGGCTGTTCTACCGTTTGTGTTCACTCCCTCCAATACAGTCTGTGGCCTACGGTTTTTCGCGCCAGGTTTTACATATTGTTTGTGCTTTGCTACCGTCCTTGTTAAAATGACCTCCATCCGGGACTATAAGCTGATTGGTTTAGGTGGGGAGGTGTCCAATCTGAACCAGTTCTTATCCGTATTTTTCGTCACAAGTGTCCAAATTGCGATTGGGGTTCAGTACTGGGTTTTAAAAGCGCCTTTCGTCACAGAAAAATCCACCGGATCTCAGACATTCTACGCATGCGCATTCCAGCGGAGCGAGTTCCTTGTGTATTTGGTGTACGTCATGTTCGTGCTCGTGCTCAGCTCCATATATGGAATAGGGGTGCGCAAAGAACAAAAAAACATGGGCGAAGCACGTCTCCTCTTAACGAGCAGTTGGTTGTGCGTGTTTGTGTGGGTGGGGTGGACAGTGGTGCTCATGGTCCTGGACGTGACGCTCATAGAGCCAGTGATCAGCGCAGGGATCATGGCGTGCGCAACTCTCATGCTCACGGTCATTTTCATTCCAAAAATACATATGGTCGCTAGACTGAAATATGATGTCTCCAAACAAACAACTTCCATGCAGAACGGATACAAGGTGGATCCAGACTTTATGTTCGAGAGGCCATACTCTCTGCCAGGAACCTTGACGAGTTCCTACTCCTCGGTGAAAACCTACCCCAAAAGCATTGAACATTTTGACTCGTCACTGAGTTACTAGTCATGCCAGTAAACGCTACAGCTTAGTACAGGCTACAGTGAAACCTCGTTAGTCCGGAAACTGGTTATGTGAACGCCCCCTCAACGACAACATTTGGGAAGATCTTGAAATATGAAGGAACCATGTAACTACGATTGGTTAACCGGGCACCTGTTGATCCGGACTCAATGGGAAACGTACGGTCCGGATGAAGGGGTTTCGTCGTATGTGAAAACAAACACTCAAACGGTGAGATAGAGACTCGCTTTTCAAGTGCAAGGCCAGAATTCTTGTCATTTGTGTTGACGATACCTCACTACAGCAACCGTGTTATGTATAATCCACCTTTTGTATTGTCATAAAATGTGTCTTCTATTATATGTGCGTGGGTTCTCGAGAACCCCAGGCAGTTTCCATACACCTGGCATTGTGTAGTCAGTCAGCTGATAAAGTACATCAGCTTCTTTGCTACATGTTTTTCTATAACATAGACCTTACTATTGTACTTGAAATAAGGGACGAAGGACTAACAAAGCATTGTTCGATTTCTTCACGCGGATAAAATGCCCAGAATGCTTTCAATTTAGCCTACTTGAGGCCAGAATGCTTTCCATTTAGCCTACTTGAGGCCAGAATGCTTTCCATTTAACCTACTTGAGGCCAGAATGCTTTCAATTTAGCCTACTTGAGGCCAGAATGCTTTCCATTTAACCTACCTGAGGCCAGAATGCTTTCCATTGAACCTACCTGAGGCCAGAATGCTTTCCATTTAACCTACTTGAGGCCAGAATGCTTTCAATTTAGCCTACTTGAGGCCAGAACGCTTTCCATTTAACCTACTTGAGGCCAGAATGCTTTCCATTTAACCTACTTGAGGCCAGAATGCTTTCCATTTAACCTACTTGAGGCCAGAATGCTTTCCATTTAACCTACTTGAGGCCAGAATGCTTTCAATTTAGCCTACTTGAGGCCAGAATGCTTTCCATTTAACCTACTTGAGGCCAGAATGCTTTCAATTTAGCCTACTTGAGGCCAGAATGCTTTCCATTTAACCTACCTGAGGCCAGAATGCTTTCCATTTAACCTACCCGAGGCCAGAATGCTTTCCATTTAGCCTACTTGACGCTAGAATATTTCAACCATTGATCGAATTTGTGAAAACGAAATACAAATTTTGCAAATGTCTGAACCTCGCTGGAAGTACGTACATCATATGCTTGTCAGGGTCACACTGTCATGTTACCCTGTGTTACTGCGTTGTTTATGAATTATACATAAGCAATGAACTTATTCCCATATCAGAACCTGTGTGTATAGTTGACTCCAGAGCGCATGTAGCTCACTAACATTGTGTTCACGCTGGCCAGTTGATTTTTCCTATGATATTGATGACGTTATGACAATCAGATCACATTTGTAGATACTTTATGCATTGATCCCCGTATTATAGTCTAGCGATGCATTGTCATATTCATATGTAAACAACGATTTTGACAAAATCTTCCCACAATGCGATCGTAGCGCTACGACTGTTGATCAGGTGATACCAGTTCCAGCGTATCAGAGAATACATAAATTTCAACAAAGTCATCCAAAATGTTTGTTCAACTTACTTTTCGACAATTGTTACGTTGTATACAATTTAGACGCATGACGTTACCTACATGGAATAATGTAGTTACATGTACAGTGAAACTCCAGTAGTCTGGACCCCGCTAATCCAGATGCCCTGCTATCCAGACGAGTTCTGTTACGTCTTCAATACTTATAGATGCATTACAATGTGCCTGTGATTCCCAAATCAGGATTTATTTTTTTCCGAACTATTTTACCCGGAACGGCACCACCAGTATTAAAGGGGTGTCACTGTAAATGTGTCAGATAACGGCAGGAACAATATCATTTTCATTGCTCCATGCGTGGTAAAACTTCGGATTCTCTTAGCTTCTCAACCCAGCAACATACGAGTGTTCCTGCCTATAGTACCCACCATCAATGTGAAGTCACGCCATGTCCAGTATTCAGGGTGTCCATTATATCCAGGTTCCTCTATTACCGGTTAGTGCCGCGGCTATTCCTATTGTAATCTTCGTTACACAAGTCATGCCGATCAGTTTGCATGAATCGAACCTCCTCAGTCAGCTGTGGCGAGATATAAATGAAATGACGTAATGAAGAGAAAAAAGTGTTTATCTTATAACAGTTTATGTTGAAATTTGACATGCGCCCCACTTGTTACTTTCTCCATTATTATAACAACATGGTGTTATGGTGTTGGCAGTTGTATCGTACTGATCAGTAGCGTGGGCGTCATCGTAGACTGAAGTAGATGATATAACGTTCAGATGACATTGAGTCACCAATGCTATCTATATATTTAACTATTTATGTGAGTGGTTCGACAATTGTGTCGTGTAACATTATAAGTTGTGGAAGTATCACGAGGGGTACATGTGGTTATATGCATCCGCGTAATGTTTTATACCACGAGCCGGACCGAGCGATACTGCCACAACGAATCTATCTCACCGACATGTTATAATCTGCCATTGTAAAAGAATTTTAAAAAATCAAAATTAATAGAAAACAGCTGTTCGATTGAGCTGAGGTTAACTTGTGCTGTGTCACGTGACTTCCTTGACTCGAAAAAGCGTGGCTTTTGCTTCGAAGCTGGGTATAAGGGATTTATTCTGCCGTTCCGGAATCAACGTGAAGTTTGTTTTCTTCGTGATTGGGTATAAGGGATTTATTCTCCCGCTGATAAATTTATTTCCCTCTATCAAAATCACGTGAACCAATCAGATCTCAAAATTCTACATTACGTTTCTTACGACGTGTTCATTCTTTAACGGAATGGAATCGAAATATACAAAATGATATGAAACATAGTTTCTTGTCCATGGAGCTAAGATCATAAAACTCGTGCCTTTGAGGTTTTATTTGTTTCCGATGTAAATGATAAGGAGACACTGAATATGCAAATATTACGAAGTAGGAAATGCGGACATTACGAAGCAGGATATGTGGACATCACGAAGTAGGATGTGCGGACACTACGAATACGGCAATTATTAAGTAGGATATGCGGAGACTACGAAATAGAATATGCGGACATTGCGGGGTAGGAACTGCGAACATTACGAAGTAGGGAATTCGGAGATTAAGGAGTAGGAAAGACGGACATCGTGAAGAAGGAATTTGGAATGGAAAAGAAGGAATTTCGAAGTAATACGGACAAGAAGTAGAATATGATGGCATAAGGAGAAGGAAATGCGGACATTATGGAGTAGGAAATGCGGACATTGTGGAGTAGGAAACGCGGACATTGCAGAATAGGAAATGATCCCCCCACATTACGATGCAGGATATTACGAAGTCTCTTCAACTTTGTTGTACCCTATACTTGCGCTAACTTCCACAATTCAGTTAACATGTTATTGTTTATTTCTTGTATTTGATAATGACTTGTTACCAGGCGATAAAGATATCACATATAAATATGTATGTACCATATGTAAATAAATATTTATACTATTAATTTTCTTGTGTTTATTCTAAGTGCGGAGGTGTTAGCCAACTTTTGGATTTGCAGATACAGGCTGACGTCAGTGTAGTACACTGGCGCGTAACATAGTGCTGTGTCATACAATAGTATAAGTACGGTTTTAACACCAACAGAACACTCTGCAGACAATTTCATACTTTACTTCCTTTTGCTTATCATTAAGGTGCGTCGGAGTAGGCTAGTGGTTAAATATAAAGCGTTGGCTCGTTACGCAGAAGATCCGGGTTCGATCCCTGCGTGGGTACAATGTGGGAAGCCCATTTTTGGTGACCAATCTTTAGCAGTCAACATCAGTTGTCTAATCTTGCCAATACGCTTGGGTTACATGCGTAATTCAATAAATCCGTCTTTATTTACAGTACTGAAAAGGTCATAGGCCATTGTACATATATACACACAGTAGCGATGGCTACAATAGGAATAAATATATCGTAAATGCGTCATTTATTAGTGGCGAACGGAATTCATTATATGCAAGACATGTAAACACCACGACCTGTGATGGTTGAACACGAAGGTGAAGTTTGTAAACCCTATAAAAATGGGACATATAACAAATCTATTATTACTTACAGGGTAGACATTTATTATTCGTAAAATGTCTGTGAGTGAGAGAGTGAGTGAGTGAGTGAGTGAGTGACCCCGCGATGAACATTATTTCAGCTATGCCACGGCGTGTCAGCTTAATTTGGGAGCAAAGCCTGAAGTGATGCAGGTCTCAGACGTTTTAACACAGGCATGGTTCTGACAAAGCTGGAATCATAATCAGGGCGAATGTGGGATTCGAACCCATGATTATAGGTTCCTGTCACTCCTAGGGGAGGCAATTCTGAAGAGCGAATTGCAGCGCCTCAGACCACTGTGTCATCCATGCTTCTACTGTTAAATGTATCGAGATGTCTTAGTATGAATGGAACACGTTTCTTCGGGAAGATGCAGTTCCCAAGTATTAACTCCAAGGATGCTGCCTAGTTCCTGTCACAAAAAGTATCTACCTTGGCATCGGCGAAAAACAGGAAAAATAATTGTTTACACCTTTTCTTATTTCAAGACAATGTGGGCAAATGCATTTAAAAAAGTATATCAGAGGTAGTTGACATGATAAAATTAACTGAAAGCTTGTTTACAAGCATTTGAAGTAAACAGTTAGCAGTAATTAGACTTAGACAAAAAGAAAAAATCATATGAACGCTTCACTTCTAAACATGGCTATGGACAGAGGGTTATAGTCAGTTCATTCATCATTCACAGGGGCGGTCGGGTAGCCTAGTGGTTAAAGCGTTCGCTTGTCAAGCCGAAGACCAAGGTTCGAATCCCGACATGGGTAAATGTGTGAAGCCCATTTCTGGTGTCCCCCGCCGTGATATTGCTGGAATATTGCTAAAAGCGGCGTAGTACAAAACTCACTCACTCACTCACTCATCATTCACAAGTACCATGATCTACAGGACATGGAAGTATTGGTAATAATAACATCCTTGTTTAACTCCGCGTGACAGCATAATATTACAGCGTCCGTGTGTATTTGTTTGTCCATTAAATATCTGATGTATATGCATCATTTTTTTGAAAGAAACAGGCAGAAGTGGTCATATTCATAAGCGAAATGTTAGGTTTGGAAGCAGTCCTCTTCCCGCTTCTAATACAACGCCTAAAGAAAACTTTAGCGTTCATGGATATATTCTTTTCATTGAAAAGAGGATTGCAAAAATCTACTGACAGTGTAAATTCGGCTCCATATATTTTTATTATTATGGATATCTCTAGTTTTAGGTAATCGAAACTATAAAATGTTCAAAAATATATATTTATAATCGGATTTACGAGAAACACTTTAGGTGAAAACTAGAAACCTTAGCCATCTCCGGGGCAGGACAGGGTGCCGTTGTACAAAGCGATCTTAGCGCTAAGGTGACCGTAACCCCCATACCTTAACATAGACTTAATACAGTCGTAGCTCTAAGGTTGTTTTGTACAACGACACCCTGATCCACAGAACAACATGTTTCTCCTAAGAACCTACTAATGAGTGAGTGAGTTGCAATTGAACGTCACATCGGCAGTATCTAAGACGAGGCCGATTAATGGGGATTAGGGGGTTCACATTGTTGATCGGTCTGCCTGCCTGGCACCGCACCCTGACTACTTGAGTCTTTGTTCATACGGTCAATCACTGGTTCGCATGGCCCAAGCTCTATCATTTACAGGCCACCGTGACATAGCTTTGAATGAAATGAACATCATACCGGGATTTTATAATTGACAACATTAACTTGTAGACCAAGGTCAGCAACTCTGATGAACTGTGCGGAAACGTCAACACGATTGAGACAGAAGGAGCCCTTCTTAAAAGTCTCTTTAATTTGACTGAAATTGTTTCCAAGATGATGAACACATCGCAAATTACAATTACGTTTGTATTAATTTCAGATATTTTGTAAACTTTTGCTAAGTTAACTCAACAGTCACTGGCTGTTAATGCAATGAAGGAAGGCGAAAGTGACCGAAGCGGCCTAGAAATATCCGAG